TGGAGAGCTTTAGGAAACGCTTTTCCCACCTTCCTAAATTTTGAAATCAGTAAGTGGTATAATGTGGGCTTGGGAATTTTGAGATCGCCACATGCTTTAAAAAAAAAGAAAAAGGTGTCGTGCTTAGATTCACTGACCTGGACCCAGTCTCTGTGATGTGGTCCAGGTAAGGCCAGCCCTGGACTAAATAATGAAACAGACTACATCCTAAAGTTGTTTTTTTTTTTGATATTCCTACCCTTTCTGTACCCTCTCTTCCATCTTTTACCCTATTTATATGATTCTCCTACTTCTAATAAAGTTTATGACATCAGTCATTTCTACCTAGATATAAATGAGTTTGGTATTTTTGCACTTTTCCCAGAGATACTTGGATTTAAGTCATTGCTAACAGTGAGCTAAAGAGTTCATTTCTGGGGCGCCTGGGTGGCTCGGTCAGTTAGGCCTCCAACTTCAGCTCAGGTCATGATCTCACAGCTAGTGAGTTCGAGCCCTGCATTGGGCTCTGTGCTGACCGCTCAGAGCCTGGAGCCTGCTTCAGATTCTGTGACTCTCTCTCTCTGCCCCTCCCCTGCTTATGCTCTCTGTCTCTCAAAAAATAAATTAGTGTTTAAAAAAAAGTTCATTTCCTAAAAAAAAAAAAAATAGTGTAACATCAGCAAACAGATAAGAAACATCACTTGAGAATAGCAAACTCCTCTCTAGCCACATACAAACACTTCCCCCCACACCCCTGCCTCTGACCAAGCCCTTTTCTACTTAAGTTGCCTGAATTTAAAACAAACTGCTGAAGCTTTGTATATTTCCATTTATTTATGAATACAAACTTTTAGGTATTAATAATGTCCAAAATTAACATTAATATTATTTGTAAGATTCTATGAAGTACTAAATACTACCGTTAAGAACACGTTTATTTTTGATATGGTTAATGTTAACCAAATAATTTTATTATACAAACTGTTGCCTTATCTAGTATATTAGTATGAAATGGATGCAGTTTTATAGATGAGGAAACCCCAATTGGTCTCGTCTGTGCCTAGTAGCAGGTGCTCTATGACGGACAGTTAAAGCTTGATGGCTATTTAGCAAAGTGTGCACAGTGCCATCTAGTGGTATCCAGTGATCACTGCAAAACCTAAATGTCCATTTTCCAAAGTGATTTTGATGGCTCAAGAGTAAACATCTTTATACAACTGTCAGACTTTTAAAACAGACTTCCTAATAGCTTCCTTATGACTCTAAACTTAGCACATTTCTTAGTGCTCCTACTTCATTAAGCAGAAGGCTTGTGATACCTTTTAATAATAATTAATAGGTATTAAATACTTCTATGCACTGAGCACTGAGTTAAGTGCTTTCTATGGATTGTCTCATTTGATCCCCCCAATAACCCTGCAGTGGAGCAGCTCTTGTTGTCCCCATCTTACAGATGTGGAAACTGAAACTTAAGGACATTAAGTTATTTGCTCAAGGTCACATGAATAGTCGATAGGAGAAGCCAGTCGAAACCCAACCTACCGTCCAGGAACCCGCACTATTCTGCACTGTAATCTGCACCTCCCAAAGCAGTTACCAATGGAATAAAATTTCTGATAAGTCTTTATGAAAGAGGGCCTTCCTCACCAGGTCTCTAATTATCAAACACGGTAAAACCGATTCAAACTGCACTAACTGAGAACGTAACGACAGTTAAACTAAATATTATCTGTCTTTGGGGCGGAGATGTAGTTTGGCCTTCTTTTGTATGGCCAACACGATATATGCTCAAAATTACATGTCAATTAACTTATCGAATTTGGGGGCACTGGGCTGAAAGTTGGGTTTGGATTCACAGACCTTGTAAGTTGATAATGGCGTAGCATTTATCAGATATAATGGCGTAGCATAGATCAGAAGGTGTTTAATTATCTTAACACTAGTAGTTATCATTTGTTGAGCACCTATGTGCCAAGCTCTGTGACCAGCACCTGTGTATACATTTTCTCTTTTCTCCTCTCTATAACTGTCTCTGGATGGTATTCTCCTCATTTCTAGAAAGGAAACAGTAAAGTATATAGAGGAGGAGTAACGTGCCCACAGTTTTATGATTATTAGTAGAGCCAGGGGTGAAACTTCAATCTTTGTGACTGCAAAATCTGTGTCTTTTGCCACGCTTGGAAAATAAGTATTATAGTGTGCATGATTCCAGTTTTCTGTGTACCACCATCCCTATGCAAAAAGACCATCATCTCTGCTGGGATGATGGTAACAGGCTCCAGCCACTTCCCCCGTGCATGCCTGTCCACCTCCATTGCTTTCTGCCCTTACTGTCCGAAATGATAGTTTTCAGCTGCATTTCTGAGCGTGTCACTCTATTTAACACCTGTGTCTTCATACTTTTAGTGTAAAGGCCAAAAGATTTGCCGTAGCCACAGTACTCCTCCAGCCTTATCTTATTCCTCTGGGCCCTTCACGACCATCTCATAATCCCATTTTGTATGTAGCACCCTGTCCACCACAACAGGTCATCATTTCTGATTATCTGTGTAATTGTGAATCGTGTCCAAATCCCCACCTGTTAGTTCCTTGAGGCAGGAACAACATCTTTGCATCCTGCACCCAGACGTATCCCCAAGGACTAGATCCAGAGGATCTGTACATCAAACATAAAGGGAGTAATTATAGGAACCCAGTTCCTGCAGAAATTAATTTAATTCCTCAAGAAGTTAATTAAACAAACAAACAAACAAAAACTTATAGATGCCATCTACCTGGAAGTACCTTGGATGCTGACTTGAAAAATTGGATAAATAGCATTAAGAAATACAAATAATTTCCTTGTAGGACATACAGAGAAGGTTATAAATTTGGAATCCCATAAGTCTGAATTTATCCAAATCTAATAGATATGTAAGTATTTCAGTTAGAAAGTGATTTGTATGCTTCTGTCCCAAATAAGAGATATGCTGGAAAGTTGTTTTATTCTGGTTTTTTTTTTTTTTAGTTTTACATGATTCACATTGTACCTTTGTTCAAGTGCAACATATTGTCCTGTGTGTCAGGCATTACCACTTTTGACTTCATGATTTTTCCCATGTAAGGAGCACTGTCCTCACTCTGCAGATGGGGACAATGAAGCTCTATGTCTTCAAGGCTATGAGGGCATGCGCTTGAAGTAGAAGGGCCGTATTTAGACCTCGGTCTTTGGACTTCAAGTCCAGTGCTCATTTGGACTCCCAAGTCCAGAAGTTCAATACATGTTAGTGTTTTTTTAATATAGTGTCAGAAATGAGTAAAGAAGCAGGAAACTAAAACTTACGAGTAAGTAGAAATGCATACGTGGAGGGCACATTTTTCAGGAACTGAAACCTAAGTGTGTATTTCATTGAGAAAGACAACATACTTAGTTTCAAGAGCAAAAGCATGATGAAAAGTGAACCTTAAATATGGCGAAGTTGTGGGGACACTGGAATTCTCATACGTTGTTGATGTAGATGTGAAATACCACAACTATATCGGAACACACCTGGGGAGTTTCTCAAACATTCAACATATACCAACCATACAACCTAGCCCATTTCATTTCCAAGTATTTACCAAGAGAAATGGAGCTTATGTCTATACAAACATTTGTACGTGGCTGTTCATAGCAACTTCATTCATAACAACCCCAAACTGAAACAACTCAAGTGTCTATCAACAGGTGAGTTGAAAACCAAATTGCGATCTATCCACGAACAGAATGCTATTCAACAATATTAAGGAACAAACTATTAATACATGCAACAACGCGGATGACTCTCAAAGTAATTATACCAAGTAAAAGGATCCAGACAAAATAAAAGTACGTACCGCATGATTCCAGCTATCTAGAATCCTGGAAAACCGTTTTGGAAAGTATATCTGTGGTTGCCTGGGGTGAGGAGTGGGCTGGATTAAAAGGAACCAGAGGAAGCCTTTGGGATGGAGACGATCACTGTCCTGATTGTGGCAATGCTTTCTGGGGTGTTATAACAAGGCTTGAGCATGAACAGGGAAGAAATAGAAATGGAATTCTTGACGACACTAGTGAAAGTAACCATGACTTAAGTTCTATGAGTTAGTCAATAGTGTAGCCAAGAAGCTGTTCTTGACCAGGTTAAATAAGTGATCCGTGACTTAATTCTGCTGATAACTTTTCCTTTTTTCCCTGCCTGTCTTCCCACCTTCCTTAACTTTCTCTTTTTTTATTTCAAACCTTATACTATGAAAAATATATAAATCAATTAAAATATTTTAAATAAACGCAGGTTTGATATCTTTTCGAATGCTAGAATTTAAGTGCTGGTTTTGTGTCTCTTTCTTTCAAGGGGTCGGTGTGTACAGTGGGAAAATGCTTTAAAGCCAGAGAGCCTTGTTCGTTTTAATCACAAGTGCCATACACTTCAAAGTTGCTAAGAAACTAGATCTTTAATGTTCTCACCACAAAAAAAGAAATTATAATTCTGGGACATGATGTGTTAGCTAATGCTAGGGTGATAATCACATTGCAGTATATAAATCTATCAAATCAATATGTTGTATACCTTGAAGTTACACATACACGACGTTGTATGTCAACAGTTTTTATTTCAGCGTTTTTTGAAAATGACGTGGATAGACGTGGATTTGAAAAGCAGTTTTGCCATTGACTGGCCTTGGACCCTTGCATTTGTCAGTTAACTTCCCTGGTCCTCAGTTTCTCATATGTAACATAAAGATAGTAGCTGCATTTCAAGGGTCACGTTGAAGATTAGAAGTAGCTATCTACTGTGGTTTTCAGGAAATAATTCTCTTGGTATTATACACGGTACATCAAGTCTTTGAGATCATGCACTGTCTATGTACATTTGCTTATGTCAACCCCTACAAGAGTTGAACTCATATTGAGGACTTTGAGGTGCCCTGACAAAATAGGACAGATGGTACGTGTAAAATAATGAGTTTACCTTTCCCTGCATTTTGGGCTGATGTGTTCCCTCTGCTTTAATTGTATGTAGTGCACCTGGTGGACATTTGGAACGTCATAGAAGCGTTGCGGGAAAATGCTCTGAACAACCTGGACCCTAACATAGAACTCAGTGTGGCCCGCTTGGAGGCTGTGCTTTCCACCATTTTCTACCAGCTCAACAAACGGATGCCAACCACTCACCAAATCCAGGTGGAACAGTCCATCAGCCTCCTGCTTAACTTCCTGCTGGCAGCCTTTGATCCGTAAGCTCCCTCCGAATAGCTGTTCCTCTCTGCATGTTTGGTCTCTCCCTCCTCTTGTCCTTCTTGGTCTCTTCCAAATGATTTTCTAGAGTAGCTGGCTGCCTCTTTTTCTTGATCAGAAACTTATCTCAATAAAATCTGTCTGTGTTTAACATAAATTTTAAATGCCATGGGGGAAAAAAACAGTAAAAAAGTGCCACAGGAAATTGAGGACAATTGTATTTTGTATGCTGACCTTTGTTTAACTCATCCCATGCTTCCTAAAAGCTACAGGTGCTTGAAAGTGTCGCGCGATGGCATGCCTGTGGAGCAGTTTAATGAAGCGTGCAGTGGAAGGATGTTTTCAACTCTCTTCTCTGCAGATTGCCTAAGACAGTGTTTCTGAGGTGTCATAACAAGATCCTAGAACAAACAGAGAGATTGAAGAGGGTTTCTTGATCAGCCTAGTGAAAGGAGCCATGGCTTGCGTTAAATGGATCAGTCAATAATGTGCCACATAAAACAGTGTAATGCCTTCCACACATGATAATTAAATCTCAGCCTCGTTATCTTATAATTTTGTCTCACAGAATCAGAGAATTTCAGATCTGGCTGAAATATTAAAGACTGTTGTTCCAAATCTCTCATTTTACAGATGAAGGACCTGGACCACAAAGAGGCTCTCCCTTGACCAGTGTCTCTCAGCATGTTAGTGGCAGAGTAGGGATTTAGGTATTCAGCTAAGATTTCTTTTCCAAGGCATATGTGGCAGCCTTGTGAAGTGTAAAAACTCCCCTGAATTACTTTATCAGCCTAAGATTTCAAAAGGTCTTTGGCTGATTGCCTTTAGTCTAGATATGGTATCAGCATCCCCACTTTCACTACTGGTTTTGAATATTAAAACGGAAAATTGCTAACTTGACCTTTCAGCAATCACATTTTAAGACTCTCAAAAGATTTTGCTTAGTCTCATTGTCTGGCCAATGCTTGGGAATATCTAAGCCTGGCACTGGAGATGTTCCAGCCAGGCTAATGTTATTATGCCGCTCACGAAAGCTACCAGCTGTCACTTTACAACCTAGAGTGGTAACAGAATTATCCGTGCTTGGTTTGACCTGTGTAGAGTATTGTCTCATGATGTTTAAATTTTGAGTAATTCTCGACTTGAAATAAACAGTTCTGAAACAAGCAGTCCGGCTTGATAGATCCCACGCTTAGCCTGTGCGGACTTCAGAACTGATGTACTGCTTTGGCCTAATCACTATGGTAACCAAGTGGCAGGCAGGTAGAGAAGGCTATGGTTCCACATGACAGGTGACAGAATGGAGCCAGGCTATGGAATTTCTGTAATGGCATTTCCATCCTCCCCCCTTGACAAGAGCACAGAAGCTTTCAGACTTGCCACTAGTCTTCAGGGGGCTTATTTGTTATAAGTGGAACAACGGAGAATGTAAAAAGAGAAATAGAATTCTTGCCAGATCTTAGAGTATTGCTGGAGGATTCATAAGGAATCAAAGATAAAAAAATAATTTGTATCCACTCCATAAATATAGAAACTGGGCCAGATTAATATTAAGGAAGGAGGACCTTGTGAAATATGTTAGAGTTATAATACATACATGTCTCATATTTTATATGACATATCATATCTCAGTATTTCTCATAACATGAGAAATATACAATAGAGTTAGATTTTTCACTTCTGTTTAGAAATATTGGGAAGATCACTTTTAAAAAATAGGGCTGTAGATGTTCTCTAAGTAGCTACTGATAATCATTTCAAGGTTGATGAATGCTAAGCTTAAGGACTATCCCAAGGTCAGGAGCCATCAACGTGAACGTTCACATGGAATATCTGTTTGGTTCTTACTCTTCGTACAGATAAAAAGGGCCCTGATGTATACTTTCAGTAATCTCATTATAGTAGATTTTTTAAAACATCCACATAGAGAAATCTCATTTTACAGATTTACAGACACATCCATATAGAGACCCCAGTCTACAGATGCTTCTGCCTTCTCTCTTTTGGCATTGCAAATAAGTATAGGCAGTTCTGCTGATTCTCAAACTTCCATCTGATGGCTTTTGAAAATCTAGACGATGTGGGATGTGAGCCATAAGGAAGTATCGGTAGCTGGAAAGAGACTATAACCGGAAATATTCACTTAAAAGTGAATGTAAGAAGCGAAACTTAAGAATAAAATGAATGTTCAATTCAATTTCTTATAATAGTAAACTCCTGTTTCTCCAAATGAGATCCAGCATGGAAATCTGATGTTGCTTCCTACCACCTATCCCACGACAGAACCCAAGCATTTAAGGGAGCCTTCTGCATTTTGGTAGACGTGAATGAGCCTAGTACATCAAGGATATGCTGTTGCTCTTATAGAATCACTGAAACATTTGGGAGATTTTCTCATTTGCTGTAATTTGAATGAACATTTAAAAAAAAACAAAAAAAAGTCTAAAATAAAAATTTAAACTTTCATTCTAAAGAGATTATATATATGTGTATATTTTTTTTGAAGGAAGGACAGTATAGCAATTTAAATTCATGAAGACTGAAAATAAGAACTTGCATTCAGAGAAACTTGGTCATTATTTTGGCAATGCCTTCAAATTCACCAGACCCAGCTGGTGGAGTCTTCCATGAATATGGTAACCTGAAATGAGGTTCAAAGCCCACTGCACTTGCCTGTATCCTTGAGAACCAGATTTGCCTTCTCGCAACCATACCTCCCCCAAAATATCACTCTTTCCCTTCTCTCCCCAGAGAAACACCTGCGTCTCAGTCCTCCCCCAGACATGCTCACTGCAGACCACAGCTAGCTTCCTGGTTGCAAGGTTTCTCCACCAACTCAGCCTCTTAGAAGATAGAGGGCATTGCTACAGATGTAGGATGATTTCTAGAGTGTTAGGAGCTAGGATTCATGCCCAGAGACTATGCTTATGTTTGCCATTCTGTCTCTGAATATCAGTGCCTTGAGTCTAGAAGATGTTTTTCCTGACTTTCCTCCTAAAAATGGCTGTATCCTAGCAAGAGTCAACCAGTGGTCGATGACCAATCAACTTCTAAGCAGACCTTTCCATCCCAGACACTGTCTCCTCCAGAGTCCCTAGGAAAATGACAGGTGTACCTGGGAAGGGTGGGAAAGGTGTCAGAATCGGGGATGAGGGACTGAGAGTGAAGAATTAGAGAACAGCCAGAGCCAGTCTCTGTATCTCATCTCTTTTCTTCTGCACACCCCAGGAATTAGCCTGCCTCTTTCCCTTATTTGCTAACAACCTGGAGGCAGCTTTTCTTCCCACTGTTAACTATTATTTTTTAGGAAAACTGAGAGTAACAAAAGAAAACCAACATGGCAGAAAGTTACAAGGTGACAATAATTTTTTTCAACAGCTTTATTGAAAGGTATAATTGTGACCTTGACACTACTTCTTAAAAGTCTATATTGACCTTTCAAAGAGATGGGGTCACAAACTGATCCGCTGTGAAGCCCTTCACCTCTCATGGCTGAGTTGACCCCCCTCTTCCCCAGGTCCTACTGTTCCTTTCAAATGATTTTGTTATTCTTTTATGGTGCATGTCTTCCTATTTATATGACTGCCTCCCACAAGCTACTATACAGTGGGACCATGGCTTACTCTTTGTATCCACAGCACCTGAGACAATGTCCAGCTCATAATGAATCTACAAATGAATGAGTGAATGAATGAATCAATGAATGAATGAATAAAGATCAAAGATTGACTTTTCTTAGCTCAACACACTAATTTCTTTTCATTCTTTTTCTGAAACTAAGTCCTCCTTGATCTCTAATATATTACCAAGACTAGGGAGTCCAGGTTTGCTCTGTCACCTAGATTCATACCCTCTATTTTTACTTCTGTTCCACAAGAGAAGAAAACAGATGGCTGTGACTACTAGTGTGGGAGTATCCTATTTTCACAAAAGACTTCCCTGTAGTTCTCGTACTCCCTTCTTCATTTCTTGGGAAACATGAACAACAACTTTAGTCTGTTGACTTAATCTCATTTCAATTCACTAGAATCTTCTTTCTTAGGGAAGTTCTTCCTAAGGTAGATTAGGTGACAGTGGCCTTGTGTTTAGCAAATGTTATTTTCACATATATTCAGCCATGCAAATCTCATAGGAGGGCAAGGGTAAAGATTAAAAAGAATGGTGGTGTTCCTCTTCTCAGGTGTCACGCTATATTCTTAAAGCCAGTTCTCCAATGATAGTAATAATGTACTAATGTAATCAGTAATTATATATACTAATAGTGATTATGTACTAATGTAATTAGTAATCATATTACTCATTGTGGTAATAGCTAATACCATTTATTGTTTGCCCACAGTCCTACTGGTTGGGCACTATGGGATTATAACTTTTCAGGTTGAGTAAGCGATACGGCTGGGACATGTGGAGGTTACATAGTGTGTAGGTAATACAGTGTCACACTAGGTGAGGTCAGTGGGGAAAAAGAATCATTTGTTTCAGGCATCAGTGTAAGTTCAGCTGTATTCATGCTTTCTATTACATTTTTAAATGAGAAATTAAGGTACTTTTCCCCCCAAACTTACCCAGCTTTTACAGGATATTTTTATGATGCCCACATTCCTAACCTTTCCAGTTTGTGGTACTCAGACATGTCTGACAGAGTGTACGTGAAGGAAATATTTGGACTTAACACATATTACATTGTAGATTTAGAGTCAGTTTTATGACAGCCATCCAGAATTCCAAATCTATCATATAATAGTCTTTCACAGAGAATACAGAATCCTCTGTTTGACATATTGCACCTTGCTGAGCCATTTGAACATCCATTCCCACTCCTGAGCTTCCCCACACACCCCCTCCAATGCTATGAAAGGTACCACAGCACTATTTCAGACTCGTGGATATAAAATATTCTGGAAATCTGCCCAAATCCGTCTGCCTTTTGAGTTTAAAAAATAATTTTGATGTTTAATGCAAGATGTAGTACAAAGGACACAGCCCTTCCTCTGCGCAC